CCCTTTTGAGTCATTAGCAGTCATCAGGCAACTTCTGAATGCAATTGGTTGCACTCAGGGAAAAGGGGGCTGAATACACTCACTTTTACGCACTTTTCAGTTTTTTATTTGTAAAAAATGTTTTGATTCATGTAAAATTTTGCTTCCACTTCACAATTGTATACCACTTTGTGTTGGTCTTTCACATTAAATTCCAGTGAAATATATTCATGTTTGTGGTTGTAATGTGACAAAATATGGAAAAGTTCAAGGGGTATGAATACTTTTGCAAACCACTGTAGTTCAGATCTTTACAAATACATGCCTGTGTAAACAGTATCTTACCTGTTGTAGATGTAGAAATATGGTTTAATTAAAAGGAAAAATGCTTTTAAATCCTTCTTTTCCACAKTAAATCATTTTTTTCGGGTCTATATGTGGTCTGAATTTCTCATTACTGTAGCTCCACAAGCCCCTCTTTTACCCTGTTTCTGAGGTGTTTCTGAGAGCAACTCGCTTTGATGCGGTCTCTTTGAATACAAATGAGACACTTCATCAATCCAAATCCACTTGGAAAGGTCTGAACTATTGCTTTAAACGGATGCATAAAAAGGAAAACTTAGAGGTTAAAAAGGCAAATGAAAACTTCAGTTTGACTTGAAAAACATTTCACTTTAAAGGGGCAATATCATGTAAAATCAACTTTTTTGAGTTTTATATCATGTTATAATGTTATACTCTCATCGAAAACATGCTAAAAGCCTTGCTTTGGCACATGCATGTTTGAGAAATCCTGCAGTGTTTTAGGAAGCCATGCTGAGGGGCAAAACGACAGGTGGGGACCAGAAACACCCCTGGGAAGTGTCTTTAAGCAGAGCTTCCTTATGGCTAAAGGTGACATATTATGGTATAGTATTTAAATATATGCCTGAGAAACATAATATTGCCCCTTTAAAGGTGTGTCATTGTTAAGCACAGAGGTGGGAGGATCATGGTTTGAGTGAGTCGTACCTCGATGAGACCGTCTGCATCGATACTCAGCTCATCTGCGTTGCGGGCGACAAAAGAGTACAGAGCTCTGTATGTTGTTAGCTGCCGTCCTCCTTCCTGCTCTTCTTTCCTCCTCTGCAGCGCCTCCTCCTCCTCCTCTTTTCGTCTCCTCTCCTCCTCCAACTCCCTCGTCTTCCTCTCCTCCTCCTCCCTCCGTTTTCTCTCCTCTTCCTGTGCTTTCTCCTGAGCAGCTCGGAGGCGAGCTTTCGCCTGTCTCTCCTCCTCCTCCTCCCTCTGCTTGGCCATCTGCTCCTCCAGGAGCCTTCTCTGTCGCGCCTCCTCCTCCTCCCTCTCCCGCTTTTCTTGTTCCCTCTGCTCCTGCTCTCTCCTCTCTTGCTCCAGCTTCGCCCGTCTGTGACGAAGACATGTTAAAAACCACCTTCAGTCATCAAAGACGCTCCAAAGGCAGGTGAGAAAGAAGGGAACTCACCTGGCCGCCTCTTCTTCCTCCCTCCTCTTCCTTTCTCTCTCCTCCTCCTCCCTGCGCCTCTGCAGCTCCCTCATTTTCTCCTCTTTGACTCGGTACAGGTCGTCCAGGACGGCCTGCTGCTTCACCTGCTTCTCCCTCAGTTCCTGATGGGAGCATAAAAGACCCGTGAAGGCTTCTCTTCCGGCCATCATTCATTTGTGTTTTATTAAAGCCAAACTCATGACAGACATGCAGAGCAGACTGACAGAAACATGCAGACATATCGCATCTGTCCCAAATGGGTTTTTCTCTTCCTCTTTCTAAAATCAAACTGCAGCAGGTTAAACATTATGTGTGTGTATGTTTTACCCTCAGGGAGCATCCTGTTTACACAGAAAATACAAGCTCAAACAAATCCCACAGAGAGAGAGAACAAAACAAAACAAAACGCACTGCACAAACCAGAGCTGTGTTTAATAACCATAGAGTTTAAAAGGATTGAGAATAGAGGGGGGAAAAAAGACATGAGAGGAGATTTAAAACAATACAACAGTGGGAGGTGAAGAGAGAGGGAAGGAGAACCTTGATGAGGAGGAAGAGCTGGCTGAGGCAGGCCAGCAGGGAGAGAAGGCCTCGCAGGACACAGTCATCCATATCCCCGAGCTAAGGCGAAAAATAAAATAAACATACACACACACACGTTGTGGTGATAAAAGAGAAGAGATGAGGGTAGAAATGGGCACAAGGTGAAATAAAAAATGAAGTGTAATAAAGATGGGAAAACAGAGTTGTATAAAATTGTTAGGGAAACAAAAAGACAACAGAAAGGGCATCACATCAACAAGAAATAAACACACAAACAGGAAAGATGAAGAAAATCCAGGTTTTGCAGCAAAGAAGACAAAAAGAAGAAAAAGAAATAACATTGGTTAAGTTCTAACAGCAAAGAATCAATAATTAAAGTAGGAAAAGAGGAAAAAAACAGCATTTTGTTCTCTTTAATGAAAGGAAAAGGTTTTAGCTTTCTGTTTGCTATTATGTATTTCTGAACATAAATCAAAATTGCTAGAAAACATGGCTTTAGTTATAGCAGTGTTTCCCCTAGAGTATTAGCCTAATATCTAATATGTCTTGTCATAAACCAATTTCAGATATCTGGAATATAAATGTGGTGAAGCTGATTAAATGTAAAAACAGCCTGCCATATATGTGAGCTACTTCATGTTGCTGAAAATGATCTGCTGTGCTCCCAGAGCAGAAGCCAGTTGTTAAATTAGCTAGATGGACTTGAAGCAGGCGAACAATCACATTTTCTTTTCATCTCCGCAATAAACAAGGAAAAAAAATGGTGTGAAAAATGCTACTCCGGTTGTTTATGTTTCACTCTGCGTGATGTACAGTGGGCAGGAGAAGCAACACGATATTTTAGTTATATACAACAAAATATTGAAACTTATTGTGGTAGAAAATTGAAAAAATAATAAAATTGGTCAAAATTTACTCCCGTAATTAATGGACTGGGGGCCGGGGGGGGGGGTCGGTTCTGTTAGAGGAGCAGGCCGCCCTCTTTGTACAATGTTCGGGGAAACACCGTATAGCCTCTGTGGTTAATGTCAGAATTCAAAAACTGGTTCTGGATTCAGAGTATTAACCCACCTGACTCACTTTGTTTACTGATCTGCTTGATTCACTGACCTTCAGCTCTTTGTTGTATTGCTCCATTTGACTGAGTTTGTCTGTTGTTTCTTTTTCCAGAATATCGAGCTGATCCTTCAGCCTGCGGCAGTTCACGCTCTTCTCCGTCACGCTGCCCGTCAGGGAGGTCAGAGTCACAGCTACATAGCAAGGGTCAAAGGTCAGATACTTTTCGAGGCAAATCTGAAGACGGTATGATCTCCGTTACTCACAGGGGAGTTTCTTGAGGCCGATGTTTCGCAGCTTTTCAGTCAGCCGCTGTTGTTCTGGAACGAGCTGAGAGAGTTTCCTCTGCCAGTCCTGTAGCAACCAAAGAGACACACAAAATAAACCCTTTAAAACCTTCATGGGTATAATTTTAATGTAAAATGTTTGGAAAAAGCAAATTTAAAGGTTTAACCTCAAATTCAAGCTGAAGTGTGTTAATCTCAGCGATGCGAGTGTCTCTTTTCTGATTGATGAGGTCGACCTCCGCCTTCTGAATCCGCCTCTTGCTCTGAGCATCACGGAGGCGGTCTGAGATCTGTTTGTGCTTGTTGCCCTGAGACCAGAAAACTAAAATTAGCATTTTAACGATAACCCCAACCATACATATATGTAGCAATATAGCTTTAGTTCCTGAGCTAATAATGTTAGCTTGTTACCTAATGCCATTTATACAGTAATAAATAAATAATAAATAAATAATAAGTATATGGCATTAGTTCATAAACAGCTAATGCTATATTGCCATATTTATATGTGTATTAGCTTGGGCTCTAACGCTATATTTCTGTCTGTATTAGCTCAGGCGCTAACCTTATATCGCCATACAAATATATTAGCTTGGGTGCTAACGTGAAAGCTAACAGGCTAAGCTGAGGTTCTCTATAGATAAAGCAGCTCAGTTTCAGTCATTTTCAGTTCCAGGCTGAGTCATTTCTACCTTCTCCTCTCTGTCAACGTGCTCTGGTTTCATTTAAAATGGCTGATCATCAGATATTGTCCAAGATTAACTTCCAGGGTGGCTAGAGTTCACAGTCTCACACAATGAAGACAAAAAAACAAAAAAGTCTTGCACCAGAACACCTAGTGAACGTCACCATTTGCCTGTATGCTTTGCGGTGTAAATAATGTGGCGCTGTTCGTGTGACAATATGTTTTTTTAATTTATAAAAAACTAAACAGCCTACGGTATTTTTACATTTTTTGTTTTACAGTTGAAGTAAATATTTATCAAATAACGACTAATGTTATAACTGGCTGAGGTTCCCTTTATGCATTTATCAACGTTAGCACAGACTCACCACTGCTTCTAGCTCTAACTCCAGACTTTTCTTTTTCTCCCGGAGTCGATAAATCTCCTCTTGCTCCTCCTCTTTCCTCTTCCCCAGCTCCTCTCTCTTTCTTCGCTCCCACTCCTCCCTCCTCTGACGCTCCATCTCCTGCTTTGCCGCCTAAATGTAAGACGACAGACAGTAACCAGAAAAGACAGTGCTGACACTTTCCGTCTCTTAACCTCTCCCACTCACCTCCTTTCTCTCCAGCTCCCTCAGCCTTTCCTCTTCTCTTTGCCTCTCCATCTCCCTCTGCCTCTCCAACCGCCTCTCCTCCTCCAGCCTCCTCCGGTTCTCCAGCTCCCTGACCTCCCTCTCCCTCCGCTCGTGAGCCTCTCGCTCCTCTCGCTCTCTCCTCTCCCTCTCCTTCCTCTGCTCCTCGGCCAGCGCCAGCCGTCTTTTCTCCAGCTCGGCGCTGCCTCGTGCAAAGTTCTCCTTTAGCTTGTCCTCATAGGACACTGAGGAGAAGAAAAGAGACGTGTGACATAAATGGTGACGCATTAAACATAACAAAACAAGCATGGTGGATCAAACCATACCACTGCTCTTGTTCTTCTGTGCAGGTTCTGCCTCTGTTGTGTCGATTAAACTGGGAGTCATGTAGGGTCCTGTTCCGTTAATAAGCTCACAAGACTTTATTCCTCCTCTGGAATGAAAGAAAAAGACTGTTAAGGATGTTTTTCAGTGCTTTTCTTTTCCATATTTGGACCCAGCTCTGTGTGCTACCTGAGAGAGGGAGGTACCAGGTCCTGAGGCAGTGTGAGAGGTAGAGGACGACCCGTTTTAGCCATGTCCACCAGATGCATTGCCAGAATGAACTCATCAGCCTGCAGCTGACCGTCCTTATCAACATCCGCCAGGCTCCTGTTTACAAATGACACAGTATGAACATTTTGGTGACATGATCAGGGCTTGAGAGCAATATTTACTGCTGCTTGGCCTCTTGAGGGACACTAAACTTTACAAAACAAAAAAAAAAATGCCAAGAAATTTGACACTGAACATGACAAAAGTGATTGAAATTATGCTTTTGAGCTGGAATGGGAGGTAGTCACAGGACTGAGTTGGTGAGTGTGTGTGAAGTGTTTAGTTTGACTGGTGCATTTGTGAACATTGTCAATTTATTCTAGCAGTAGGAGCGTGTAATATTAAGCCTAGACTTAAATCTCCATCGTAATTTGCTAACAAAAAGTTATTTTATTGGTCTCAGGTTACGCTATGACAGATTACCTTGTTAGCTCTTATACATTATGGTTTAATTACTAAGGCTGTTTTATTAATTAACGCCAACGAATCCAAATAAATAAACCTGCAGATTGTTCCTACAAATAAGTTACGCAAACAATATCTTTGTTGTTGTGCCAAACAGAGTTTTTCCATTCAGAACTGTTGTGTTTCCAGCTCCAAGTCTTTATGGCAAAAATAAATGAATCCCTTGCATCATGGTTTAGTTCGCATCAAATGGGAGCTAAAACATTTTAAGTCTGCAACAGCCGTCGGTCCTAGATAACTCCTTTAATTTTGTTTTCATTTGCATGTGAATGGCTTGTGCTGAATTTATAGAAGATTTTCTTTAAATTAAAGTAATAGATGTTAAGAAGATGTTTTACAGAATATCTGCAGGGTTTAGCAAGTCAAATTTAAGACTTTTTAAGACCTTTTCAATGCCACCATGAATGAAATTTGAGACAGAAAATATAAGCCATGTGTCGCTCAATAAAACATGTTGAATATAAAGATATTCAGTGCTCTCTGGTTAAATTAGCTGTATTTTACAAGTGCAGAACTTGGTTGGAAACAACCAACATAAAATACATCTACAAAATACACTCACTGGCCACTTTATTAGGTACACCTGTCCAACTGCTCATTAACACTTAATTTCTAATCAGCCAATCACATGGCGGCAACTCAGTGCATTTAGGCATGTAGACATGGTCAAGACAATCTGCTGCAGTTCAAACCGAGCATCAGTATGGGGAAGAAAGGTGATTTGAGTGCCTTTGAAYGTGGCATGGTTGTTGGTGCCAGAAGGGCTGGTCTGAGTATTTCAGAAACTGCTGATCTACTGGGATTTTCACGCACAACCATCTCTAGGGTTTACAGAGAATGGTCCGAAAAAGAAAAAACATCCAGTGAGCGGCAGTCCTGTGGGCGAAATGCCTTGTTGATGCCAGAGGTCAGAGGAGAATRGGCAGACTGGTTCGAGCTGATAGAAAGGCAACAGTGACTCAAATAACCACCCGTTACAACCAAGGTAGGCAGAAGAGCATCTCTGAACGCACAGTACATCGAACTTTGAGGCAGATGGGCTTCAGCAGCAGAAGACCACACCGGGTGCCACTCCTTTCAGCTAAGAACAGGAAACTGAGGCTACAATTTGCACAAGCTCATTGAAATTGGACAAGAGAAGATTGGGAAAACGTTGCCTGGTCTGATGAGTCTCCATTTCTGCTGCGACATTCGGATGGTAGGGTCAGAATTTGGCGTCAACAACATGAAAGCATGGATCCATCCTGCCTTGTATCAACGGTTCAGGCTGGTGGTGGTGGTGTCATGGTGTGGGGAATCTTTTCTTGGCACTCTTTGGGCCCCTTGGTACCAATTGAGCATCGTTGCAACGCCACAGCCTACCTGAGTATTGTTGCTGACCATGTCCATCCCTTTATGACCACAATGTACCCAACATCTGATGGCTACTTTCAGCAGGATAATGCGCCATGTCATAAAGCTGGAATCATCTCAGACTGGTTTCTTGAACATGACAATGAGTTCACTGTACTCAAATGGCCTCCACAGTCACCAGATCTCAATCCAATAGAGCATCTTTGGGATGTGGTGGAACGGGAGATTCGCATCATGGATGTGCAGCCGACAAATCTGCAGCAACTTTGTGATGCCATCATGTCAATATGGACCAAAATCTCTGAGGAATGCTTCCAGCACCTTGTTGAATCTATGCCACGAAGAATTGAGGCAGTTCTGAAGGCAAAAGGGGGTCCAACCCGTTACTAGCGTGGTGTACCTAATAAAGTGGCCGGTGAGTGTACATTCATGGCAAAAAACTTGTGTTTTAACCTCCAGTTTTCCCTTTATACAAAAAGAAGTAATCCAGCCAACTGTCAATAAACATGAACTTTAACCTGCAGCATCACTATCCAGCAAATGTCTGAAGGATGAGAGATTTTAACAACTTTTCTGTAGTTTATTTTTATGTAATATCTGTGTTTTGAATTGAGGTACTCAGATAAATTAGAACAATTATAGCACATAGAGTTCCTTTATAAAGAATAAATTACAGGTAAGTTCTTTTTTTTAATGAATAAATGAATGAAAGAGTTTATTTATTTATTGTGTTTGACAGATTTCTCCCCTAAAAATCAACATTTCATCCAAAGGAAATATTTACAGGATTATAGCTCATGTAATCATACTGACTGATTATTTGGCATCCTTCTAGAAGGCAACTTATGACCTATTATGGTCAAGGGTTTTCTGTTACTAGTGACCAATGTGTGTGTAACTCCTGCATTGGTAGGAGTTGGATACATTGGATAATCATACTATTTATTTTTCATATTTGATCATTTATGAATTACATTTATCACAGTTCAGTTAGTAGTTTAGTTCTAAAGATAATAAAAGTTTAGCACATCCAAACAGACAAAACACCTCAATATTGTTAAAACATTTTGTAAAATTAACTTGTTCTTCACAAATTTGACAGAAAAATTAAACTTAACTGAGACAAACGTCTTTGCTGTGATCAGGAGTCTACAAATATTCATCTTTTAGCTTTAATAAATGTTAAATAACAAATGCAGCAGCTACAACTTCTCTCGCCATGAGAGAAACAGCATGAGCGTGCTCCCGCTGTGACACGCGCAAACACATACATTTAATGCTTAGACGTTTAATAATTTATTACATAACTTTACCTTTGGCGGGGCGGGTGGTTCTGGTAGCGGGCCGAGGTGTACTCCTTGGAAAAATGTCCGATCAGCTCTGATTAGTTTACCTGCGGTTCTGATTCCGCTTTGAGACTGAAGGACCCACCCTGCTCTGCTCTGATTGGCTAAAACTGTGACTGTGGTTCTTTTTATTGGTTGAAAGCAGCGTCAGTTAATCCATCATAACACAAGTTTTTTTTTTTTCATTTCTCAACAGAAAATGCGCTGCAGAGACGGCCGGCGCAGACAGAGAACTTTAATTGCTTCTGCCCGACAAAATTTAAGACCTATGAGTAACAAATTTAAGACCAACTTGCACATTTTTTAACAAATTAAAAAATTTATAAGGCCTTAATTTTAGATATGTAAATTTAAGGCTTTATTACTTTCACATTACCACTAAAGTTTGTGTTTTGTGTAAGATTCAGATTTTTTTCTTTTATTTCTTTTTTTTACTAAATAGTAAAAGAAAATTAAAAACACCAAAAGTAAACAAAATCTTTTCTAAAAAAAAACACAAAACCATATAAAACATGTTTGAATGTCTTTTTTAGCCTGTTGCCTAGCAACACAGGCAACAGATCAACGACGTCATCAGTAGAATTCTCGGGTGGGCGGGGCCTGTTCTAAATTCTTATGACATCACTCAAATTTGCATACTGTATTTAAGACTTAAATGACATCACTCAAATTTGCATACTGTATTTAATACAGTATGCAAATT